AAAAAAAAAAAAAAAAAAAAAACTTGCAAAACAAAAATAGCGGTTATGGACGGTGCATGTGCATGCAAACCAGGGTTGGTTAGTCTCTATCTTTTAATACAATATATTTTATAAATATACACACACACACACACACAAGTTGTACCAACTTATGTGAGATTTTCCTTCCACTAATATTAATGCAGCCAATTTGATTGATTGTTAATTAATTGCATATAAATTGTCAATTGACAGATAAGACGTAGATAGACGTATGATATTGGGAGACTAATAAAAAGTTAAATACATAATGCACGTTTAATTATATAAAAAAATAAAATAAAATTTTGGAAAGTAAATGGATAATTAATATAAAGTATGATCTATGAATGATGAAAGTTTTGTTAAAATAACTATAGTGCAAATACAGTAAAAATGACAAATACTAACTATAATACGTAATAAAGTATTATATTTATAGTATATTATTTTTTATTAATTGTTCTATAAATTTAAGATATATTAGATAAATTTACTTGAGAAATTCTGAAATTAATAAAATATAAAAAAATTGTTTTATTTTGTGTTCAATCGGCAAAATTGTAATTTTAGTCATGTTGGTTTGATCAAGTGGCATTCTTAGTCTTAACAATTGAACATTTTTGCTATTTGGTCCTACAATTTTAAAATTTAACGCAACTTCAGTCCTTTATAACTGAAAATACTACGACATTAAACCAACAGAACTTGAAATCTTTTGACTAAAAATGCTACGATGTTTAATCAACAGAACTTAAAATCTTGAGACTAAAAATGCAATGACGTTAAACTAGTCGGACTTAAAATGCAATTTCGGCTGTCCAATCACTCTACGTAGCAGGTAAAATATTCGCCAACTAGATTGTTAAAAAGATGAGAATGTCTCTATTGCAAAAAAAAAAAAAAAAAACATTCTCAACTGCAAAAAGATAATAAGAAAAGACGTAAAAGGAAACAACTGCGCCGCGAAATGAATATTTTTATATAAGTGCTTTTGTAGAGTTGTATATATTAAGATGTTGACTTTATTGCAAGAATTACTCCACTCAAATATTAATATTTTAACTATGTCTTTACAAGTCGCAACACGCCTCACATCATTGTCTTTACATGACTTGAGTGGAAATTAGTATAAATAATGGAAGATTGTATTTATTCGTGGGATGTAATTTTTACCCCAATCATAATTGACTTTAAATTTTAATCAATAATTTTCTATTTATCTAATTCTAGTTCTTCTCCATGAACTAGTACGTAACTCGTACGATACACAGACTGTGTTTATTTTGGAGAATATTATAATTTGAAGTATATTAGTAAATAAAATAGTGATATTACGTAGGTAAATTGTGAAATCATAAAATATTCATCAATAAAAAAATAATATATTATTAAGAACCTCATTGTACACTATTATTAGTTTGATTACTTGGCAACACGTTGTCCCCAAAAATTAAAATTTTAAACTTATTTCTATTACTTCCATGCAAAACAATAACATATAATAGGCGTGACTAAAAACTAATTTATTTAAGAAAAAGGTCAAAGTACGATAAAAGCTGACGCTGACTTTTATTTATTGTAATGACATACAAAACTATAAGTAAGAACAGATACCGTTGGAACTTAAATGAAACTCTACGATTAGAATGATCTACTTATAATATGACAATTTACCTGACAGTTCGACAAATGAGTTGTTAATTTATCATTTTAATATCGATTATACTTAGTTAGCTAAATAATATTTATTATTATTTTTATAGTTTTGTATTTTATATAAAAGAACATTAAACATGTATATTTAAAATATTAAAAACACCTAAAATATTATATCACATGTGTAATTAGACATTAATTCACGTTAATTTTTACAAACCGAACAATTTTTAATTGGACCACTGCCCTATTATATTATATGTATGAATATTTTTTAGGGTCAAAATCTTTTTTACCCCATTATATATCTATTCTTTCTTTTTCACACCACCCCGTCAAATTTCTTCTTTTACACCCACAAATTCACGAAATGCTATGCGATATTACACTCGCATGTCCAAATGAACCAGCGCATATCCAATCGGCCG